CAGATCACCCCCCCCCCCTCCCGCCCCTCTGCAGTGCGGGAGGGGGCAGGAGACTTTTTGGCATTTATCAGTGTAGCAGGACACTAAGGTGCCTGCTACTTGGAAACCCGGGATAACCACCCAGGTGCAGGTCGCTAGGATAACCAGAGGGAACTAGTGACCCACACCTGCCTGGTCAGCTGACCGGAAAGGGCAGGGCCTGGCTCCTATATAAATCACAGACCAGAGGCCAGGAAGCAGCTCCCTGCTGGCAGCCAAGGGAGAAGGAACTCTGTCAGAGCAAGCAGAGGGGAGAGGCCTGACTGCACGAGCAGCTCCTGATTGCTGTTATGGGATTGAGAATTCCCTGGTAGGGATTGACTAATGTTTTAGCTGGGCGGCCTAGATTTTAAGTTGTAGCCCGGGGCTTGTGTTTTGTGTTTGCTGTTTGAAACCAAAGGTTTGGGTGAGGCTATCAAGGGTTGGAGAAGGCCTCATAGGGGACCCATGGCAGCATGGAGACCCCAGCCCCAGAGAGTGGGCAGCAAGAAGCCCCAGAGAGGGACAGAGCGAGGCAAGGCGCAGCGTGAGACCAAACATCCGGTACATCAGCGAGGCTGGTTGGAGCCATGCATAGCCCATAAGGCTAGGGTGCGAGGAAGCACCCATTACAGAAGCGGGGCCACTGTACAGGAGGAAAACCGTGTCCAGGGAGACGAAGAGGCAGCCTCCCTATAATATATATAGCATCAAATGTGGCAGGCGAGAACAGAGGGTGCTTTAGAGACTTACTGGGCACAATAGGGAGGCGCTAGGATAGAGCACAGTGACCCCTAGGATGCCCATCCTGTTACAATCGGCCAAATTATCATCCATCAGGCCAATATCCGATATGGACAGTTTTCTTTATATCAGTACTGATATAATATTGGACCAATGTATTGGTGCACCTCTACAATCCACAAACTGTACAGTATCATCCTTAGCAGACATTTGAAATGGACATGGTTGTATTAGTCTCTCTGGACAGATCAGAAAAACAGGTTTTATATGTTAATTGAAATCCTTTGATCCACTATGCCTCTAGATGGTGCTCGTTTAACATGACAGTGTAGCTCTGTAATAACTAGTGCACTGGATTCAACACCCAAGCTATCATCCAGAACAGCAGTGTCAAACTCACCTGGCCTTGTGAGCCAGATGAAGGACCAGTCCACAGGCCAGAATGACATGGGGTTAGCCCTGTAGGCCAGGTCAGGCTCAGAGCCCCCCACCTGCCAGATCCAGCACCCACTCGGGCCAGTCTGGGACTGTGCCACATATGGCATTTACCTCACATCAACTGAAGTGGGTGTCGCATGTAACTCACATCCCAGACTGGCCGAACCAGTTGCTGTATGCAGTGTTCATCCCAAACTGGCCAAAGGAGGTGTTACAGGCACTGGATCTGGCATGTGGCAGGGTCCCGGACTGGTGCTACATGGGTGTTTATATGCAGCGTGGGTCCTAGAGTGGGTGCAAAGCCAATCCAGTGAGCGCCATGTGAAGCATGTGGGTCAACTCAAGACCCAGGGCCAGCACTGGGGACCAGATGATGTGGCTCTGGTGGGCAAATCTGGCCCACAGGCCATATCTTTGACACCCCCAATCTAAAATGTATGTTTATATTTCTGTAGGACTCCTCAAGATAATATTCCAAAACAAATTTCTGAAGGCTACATGAACTATTACAGAGGATTAATGTAAGTTCCTAGATCCTACATGGAGGGGCTGACGAGAAGAGGGTTGTGTCCTCATATGGCTTTGTAACTCTGAATCATGTATTCATCACATATTGAAGCACATCAAGATGTACTACTCCAGATCCTCAAAAGTATATAAATGCCTAAATTCCCTTGAAATTAATAGGTGTTGGGGATCTATGAGGCTCCAAGCAGAAACTGTAGAACTTCATAAATTTTTCAAGCTGGCATTAGAGGAAACTTACAAATATAAGTGTGATGCATAATAAGAACACGGAATATTAACCTGATTGTTAAAACAGTTATAACAAAGGCTACCTTAAAAATAAATAATCCCATAATAAAAATGATTCACATTTTTGCTCAACCAATATAGCTGTGTAAGTTTACATAAATCATTTAAAATTGGAGTTAAAATTCTGTGTATATTTGTTAGAGCTGAACTACTGATAAGAGTGCTTCTTTCCCAATATGACAACAACTAATTAAGAACCCACTGTGAGGCGGGGGGAAAACACTGTTAGAGGTCTTCTAATGTTTATGAAGATTTCAAAGAAAACTTTTCTCCCTTTCTTTATTTGGCAGTGGATCAGTACAAGATGCTTTTCTGGTCCAAACCAGCATAACTACTTGCCCTCTACACAGAGTCACTACTCATTTCAATAGGAAAGATAGATGCACATCTCTTTTTACTAGGGTATATAATGTGTTAAAAAACATCCTAACAGCCATTTCTATGGGCGGGTGTTTAACTAAGTCTACAGCCTTTACCTCTTTGCTGATATAAACTAAAATTCTAATGGTGGAGAATGGGCATATCTGAGGTAAAGAGGAATAATCCCATAATACAGACTTACATATTTGAGGAAGAGGTGCAGCTCTTTGTGGTCTTTGGGATTGATAGTTGCCTCAAACAGAGGTAAGAAAATGTTTTCTAACATCTTCCCAAAAGTAGGCAGCAGATTCTTTGACCTAAATATATCACTAAAAGAAACAAATACATCACTGTAACTACTTTTCATTTAGCTGGCCAATTTATTTCTTCCTGATATTATTAGGTTTGAGTTTTGTTTGTTTGAAAATCTGAAAGCTCTATTACATGGTTTACAAAATTAAGCTTAGACTTCCTTTTTGTTCTGTATTTGCAATACTAATTCTCATGTATAAAGTCCTGAGAACAGCAATCAACTTCCTTAAGCAATCAAGACATTCAAACTGGCAAGCAATTGGGAATGATTAACTTCTCCAAGATTACAGGTAAGCTAAATGAAAGCTTTATTTTTCAGTTCATACAACTGCAGGTCCTCTTTTGAAAGGCCCAGTTTGTATGACTGAACGAAATAATTGTGCCCCATTTGAAAATGCTAGATGGGAACTAAGAGAGAAGCTTTCCCCTAATGAGCAGTGTGTCTCAATATTCTGTACTGTCATAGGAATTCTTCTCAAACTTATTTTCCAGCTTCAAAATTCAAAACATGCAAGTTCAGCCACTATTTATTCTGACAAATATCTGTGACTAAATAGTATTAGTTACAGTATACAGTGTTTAATATCACAATCTAGGTCCCTAAGGACAGTTGGCAATTGAGTGAAAACTCATATTGATTTAATTTTGCAATTTACAGTTGTTTTGGTTGAAACTGTCATTCACTAATCAGGCAGAAAACCCTGACAGTAGAAGTTTGCAAAGTGTTCTCTCCTCCTTATGCAGCATTTCTGTAATGAGAAACTAACATTATTTCATCACTCAAAGGAATGAAGAGTGGCATTTTTACCTGTTTTTGATAAATGGCATTTCAAACATTTTACCGATTGTTTGTCATTTGTGTTAGCTGCCCATAAACATTTTGGAAGAAGTCATTAGTTTTGAATGGTTTAATGAACACATTTTATTCCCAAAACATTACTAAGGAAGCCTAAAGTAATAAAGCAGCCACAGAATTAGCCATAAAAAATTTCCCAGAGCCTGTTTATATATAAAATTACATAAAGAAGCTTAAAGGGACAGTGAAAAGGAAAATGGGTCACTTAGCAAGATTTCATTTTGTTACTAATTTCTTACCAATAGACCCAGTTACTTACTAGATTCTGGGAATCTGAATTATCCAGCGCATGTGAGGTGAATAAACCTTGTGTTTAATGAACCACTTCGCTAAGTTCTGCCATTCAACTGGAGACCGTCCATAAATGGATAACCGAGGTTCCGTGTACTGATATTTACTGTCTTCTAGTTCACGGGCTACTTCCTATTGAAAAATAAATCATTAAACATGTTTACTTTGGCAAGGACACAACAGATTGTACAATTTCTGTCCATCTTTTTTTTCTCTCAGACTTTATAATGTGGCACAGCAGAACTGTGCGTGCCTACTAGTAAACTAAAGGAACTTGCTAGTCATTGTTAGTTGATAAAACATCATACTTAGCATGCTAGAAAGAATACTCTTTAATGGCTTTCATAGCATGGATTTATACCACTTGGATTTACAAGGTTTGATTCCTTCTTTGTCCTGAACCTTGTAATTGTTTGTGCCAATATAAAGTACATGCAACTGCTACTAAATCAAAATAGGTAATTTTAGTTTCTCTGTATGCTGTTGAAAATGACTATACAATATACAGAACAATGAAGAATCAGGACCAGAATCATTAGTAACAATTTCCTCTAACAAAAAAACTATGTTATTAGTTGCTTGCACCCTTGCCTTTACCAGAGGGGGTCCCAGAGCCTACCAGCCTTGCAGGTTCGCTGCCCAAGCTGGCATAGAGTGGGTCCTTGTCTGTCCCCACCCCTCCCCGTCCGAAGCAAGAGCAGAGGCTGCTGCTATTTCTCCAAGCTCCATCAAAGCACAGCCCAAGCCATCGTTGCTGACTCGGCTGGAGAGCGGGGGAAGAGTCCCGCAGACATCAGTGTCCCTGTGCAGGACACTGGGGAAGCCCAGGAGTTCTGGTACCACTATGGGCTTTCCTCAGTTTGAAGGTCTCTATTCACCTGTAGGAGACTGGGAGACGGCCACACCAGAAGTACCTGGCCCTGACCAACTGGAGCACTGTAGAGGTAGCTATAAGAATGCAACAAGTCAGAGGGCGAGGGCCCCTGGACGAGAAGCTGAAGACCAAGTACCGGAAATTGGTAAGGGGCAGCAATTCTGCCCCAATTTTTGTTTGTTTATTTAAAATAGACTCTTGGGGATCCCAAGTGGAAAGACCAGGATTTATTCCTCAGGAAAGCACTCTGATCTGAGCCAGGAGACTGGGTGCATTTTGAAGAACTCGCAGCCAGGGCCAGGGCCAGGGCCAGGGCCCAGTGACTGATTTAAAGACTCAGGGGTCACTCTGAGTCTTTAAATTCACTCCATGAATCTGAAACAGTCCAAGCTACATAAAAGCATGCACAGGAAAAAGCTGTAACAAGAAACAGCAGGCGGGGCCTTGCTCAGAAGAACTCTCTATCTGATAAACTGGTAAAGCGGCCTGAAATGTTTGAGAAAACACTGAATCATTTCATATACTGCAAATATATATTTACAAGTTTTAACAGAACACTGTGCCTCAACAGGTGGGGAAGGACAAATATTATTTACCTTGACCATACGAGCAAAGTATTCACCACCAATGTAGTTCTCAGTTTTCAAATACAAGTCCCTTAGCTCACTGGCACCAACTGGATTGTATTTGGAATTAAATTTATCAAATCGGTGAAATGTTTGTCGACCCTGCAGAAAGAGACCCTCTTCAACATGGTAACCACAAAGCAGTGCTAAGAATTACCCAGTAAACTTATAAATCAAATTACTTTCTAATTACACTTTATTCCTAGGAAAGAATAACACCTTTAGAACAAGCAAATATTTTAGAAAATACTAATAAACGTAATTTAAAAACTCATTTAAAGGACAGTTCATTCAACGAAGACCATACAAAAAATTCCTGTTCCTCACCCCAAATGATTACAATTAACAGAATGCTACTTTTTGTCCATTTTACTTACGGCATGGACATCTAACGAATCTACTGTGAGGTCATAAGGGTCCATGTGAAGGCTTTCAAACACCTGCTTTAACGTCATTTTCTTGCCTTTTTTCTCTGCAACAATCCTGTTTGATTCTGTTTGGTAAGTATGCTTAATAAACCTCAGCAAATGTTTCTGATTCATGCAGGCAGCAGCATGGATATGAGTATCCACCTGAAATCAAAACCAGATCATTTTTGCTTAGTATGTTCTTTTTTTAAACATAGGACTTCTACTATGGAGAACATTACAAAAGCTCTACAAAAATAATATTTTTCAGGAGTCAGGGGGCTTGGTGTTAAAGTCTTCCCAAAGGTCTCTGACTCTTCAAGTACTTGAGGATTTCTCTGGCAGGGGGAAAGTGTTACATTAAATTAAAACTAAATGGATGTCATTCTGAGAGAACAGTTAAATTTTAAAGAGTATTTTTCTACAGGTTAGATGGGTGTAAGTGCCACTTATAGGAAACTAAAGAGAAGTAATAAGAAGGAACACTTGAGATGTCATCCTGCCCTTAAAATGGAGATCCTGAATTACAATAGCTGTGTATCTGTAGAAATAGCCAGGGCAGGGCAGAATGGGATCCTTCCCGTCAGGCTGCACAGCTGTTTCACAGCCCCTCCTTGCAGCTGCAGGTTTACAGCTGTCATCACTACAGCAGTGCACAATAGCTGCTGGATCACTGTAGTTGAATTTACTCTCCTTTGTCCTCTCTCTTTTCTTTCTTGCATCATAGAATCATAGAAAATTATGGTTGGAAGTCACCTCAGGAGGTCATCTAATCCAACCCCCTTGGCTGGGTCTTAACCTCCAAGGATGGAGATTCTACCACCTTGCTGGGTAACCTGTTCTAGTGCTTTACTACCCTCCTAGTGAGAAAATTCTTCCTAATACCTAACCTAAACTTCCCTTGCTGCAACTTGAGACTGTTGTTCCTTGTTCTGTCATCTGCCACCACTAAGAACAGTCCAGCTCCATCCTCCTTCGAATCCCTCTTCGGGTAGTTGAAGGGTGCTATCAAATCCCCTGTCAGTCTTCTCTTCACTAGACTAAATAAGTCCAGTTCCCACAGCCTCTGCTCACAAGTCATGTGCCCCAGCCCCCAAACCATTTTTGTTGCCCTCTGCTGAACTCTCTTCAATCTGTCCATATGCTTTCTGTAGTGGGGGGCTCAAAACTGAACACAGTACTCCAGATGTGGCCTCACCAGTGCTGTATAGAGGGATAATCACTTCCCTTGAACTGTTGTCAACATACCTACCAATGCAGCCCAGTATGCCATTAGTCTTCTTTGCAACAGGTGCCTACTGCTGGCTCATATTCAGCTTATTGTCCACTGTAGTCTCCAGGTCCTCTTCTGCAGAGCTGCTGCCCTGCTAGTCAGCCTCCGGCCTGTACTGGTGCATGGAATTGTTCTGTCCTAAGTGCAGGACTTTGCACTTGTCCTTGTTAAACCTCATGAGATTCCTTTTGGCCCAATCCTCCAATTTGTCTAGGTCACTCTGAATCCTAGCCATGCTCTCCACTATGTCTACTACTCCTCCCAGCTTGGTGTCACCTGCTAACTTGCTGAGGGTGCACTCTATGCCATCTTCCAGGTCACTGATGAAAACATCAAACAAAACCAGTTCCCAGGACTGACGCTTGGGGCACGCCACTTGATACTGGCTGCCAACTAGACATCAAGCCATTGATTACTATCCTCTGAGCCCAATGCTCCAGCCAGTTTTCTATCCACCTTACAGTCCATTCACCCAGCCTGTACTTCCTTAGCTTGCCTGTGAGAATTCTGTGGGAAACCGTATATAAAGCCTTGCTAAAATAAAGGTATACCACATCCACTCATCTCCCTATGTCCACAAAGCCAGTCATGTCACCATAGAAGCCAATCAGGTTGGTCAGACATGACTTGCCCTTGGTCAATCCATGCTGACTGTTTCTGATCATCTTCTCCTCCTCCAAGTGCTTAGAAATGGATTCCTTGAGGATCTGCTCTGTGGCTTTTTCCCAGGGACTGAGATGAGGCTGACTGATCTGTAGTTCCCTGGATCCGCCTTTTTCCCTTTCTTAAATAACATCATCCCAAACTCTCCTACATGTTGCATTTAAAAGGGATTTTCTTCCAACTCCTACTATGTAGAACTACATAGGTCCACTGTTGCCAAGGTCCTTCTGTGCAATCCTTCTGTGAAGGATTTGAAACTTAATTGATATTGTTCAGAAAACAATTTAGTCTAATAATGACCATTTTGTAGTTTATCTACCCAGATGTATATTATCCCATTCATGAAATCACCAGTACCTTTGGCTACAGATTTGCAGTGAACAGCATAGTTCAGGATTATCTCTACCTTTGAAAGGACTTGGACTCCTCTGCTGTTTGGTATCATGTGTCCATAGTTTTGATAGGCCTTATAGATACAAAGCAGCTGAGGTTATAAGAACCAGAACATGTGAACTTCAGCTCTTATTCAGAACTATTTGCTGTTTTCCAAGTTTCATCCTAATTAAGTGATCTAGGTAAAGCAAAAAAGCTCAGAGCTTCTTTAATATCTCCTCATGCACTAAAACTGAGACACAGAACCCACTATGAGGGAGGGAGCTTGCTTCAATGACTGCCCCGTCCTGGTTGATGCCATCACTCCAACTTTGTGTCAGTCAGAATGTCTTTGTTTCTATAAGTAAAAACTGGTGCACTCAAGGGGCATGTCCCCATGAACATACATGTGAAGGGGCACATGTTTCCCATGGAACAAATAGCAGCAGCACATATTTGTGCTGCTCTTTGCATCCAGATATGCCCCTGCATGCATGCTCCAGCACTCGGCAAAGGGACCCAGGTCAGGTAAAGGAGGCTAGGGTCAGCAGCTATGCTGGCCCCAGCAGCCTTACCTGGGGGCCTTCCGGGGCACCAGCAACACCAAGCCAGCCACACGGAGCCTGGCCAGCAGCATGGCTCTGGCTGGCCAGGCTCCAGTTATGCTGCTGCCATGTGCGCCATGCTGTTTTTAAAGCTTTTTTTTTTGACATCAAGATAACTGCCACATTGCAAATTAGCAGCACGGTGCATATGCATCGCATACAGTTTGTGGTGCCTCAAACAGCTTTGAGGTTCTGCAAACCACACGTGCATGCTCATGGGGATGTACCCAAGGGGCACATCCAGATGAGTGAGAACATGTGTTTTGTCATGCCTCAAAGGCTTTTGAGGCACTGTAAAATGCATGCAGTGCATCTAATCTGGTATTGAAAAAAATGGGGTGATGCGCATGGTGGCAGTGTGTGCCACCCAAAACTGGAGTCTGGCCAGCCAGAGCCACACTCCAGCTGCTGGCCAGGCTCCACGCACCTGGATTGCCACCGCTGCAGTGCAGGGAGGCTCCTAGGCTCCCAGGTAAGGCTAATGGGGCTAGCCCAGGTGCCCAGCCTCCCCCTACCCCACCCGGGGTAATTTGCTACATGCCAGGACATGAGTGCAGGGGTGTGCCCTGGGGACAAGTAGCAGCAGCACAACTATGTGCCACTGCTATTTGTCCCTGGGGTAATGCACGTGTGCACTCATTTGGACGTACCCAAGAAGGCTACTTTTCAGGGATGCTTGTTACTCACTGCTGTAATAGGAGTGAAATGGAAATGAGGGTGCTCCTCACCTCTCCCCAGGCCTTGAGTGCTACAAGTGGCCATAAGCAACCTGTAAAAATAAACTATCAGTGCTGATGGTGTGCAGAAAGAAAATAACCCAGTATTTAGATCAGTGTACAAGTAAAACTACTGGAAGGCCATCTACTTTATTCTCCATCATGAACGCTACATAAAATGATAGCACATTCAAAAACGGGAGAAATGAGTACGCATGAGCAATATGAATTGCTGTGATAAATGGGTGTGACTCCCACTCTATGTTGATGCAATTTATAATTTATTTGTTCCATGCCAACAAATAAATCAGGTGGAAATGGAGCACACCCAGATGCAAAAGGGCATTCTGAATTCCTGAGCTTTCTGGCAATCCAACTCTGAAGAACCCAAACACCACCACGAGTATATGTGGGTCAGATTTTCTTCTGTCCAGAAGATCACACTGCTGCTGTACCTTCTGTAAGAGTTTTTTATGAAACCTGTAATAGGACCCAGGTCAAAGAAACAACAAAGGACTGCATTTTCAGTTAATTCCTTAACCTGCTCCCCCTACACTTAGGAGGATTGTCCTAATCTAGGTAAGCACTAGAGAACAGAGTATCAGGAGTGTTCCCCAACTTCCCTCTTCCCTTTGCATCTCTGTGTAGCTAATGAGTACAGTCTCCTTTGAAAGAATATGCAATATTAGTGACTCCATGAGATCTAAATACCTAAAATATGTTTAGAGGGGGATTTATTTTCCTACTGAATGTGTCAGTGGAGTGGTACTAGATGATCAGACTAGGAGAGTTGCTGCTCTAAAGTGTTCTTACTTTGAACTTGTGCAAAAAAAACTGGCTGAATCAACTGGAACTAATGAACTGTTATTAGTTATCCTAACTTCAGTCCCAGAAAAAATAATGGAATTATTAATTTGGGACTCCACCAATAAAGAAGCAGAAGCAGAAATACAGTTGATGCCAGACAATGTGGTTCCTTAGAAGGTGTTGTCAAACAAGCATTTAGGATAATTAACAGGGTACACACCAAACCAGGGAACAACCCATAGCCTGCAGAATGGATGCAACCTCCAGAGCATTTGGATCCACCCTGCACAGTCATGGCCCCAGTGGCATTCAGCAACAGGGGTTGCCTACACTACACCATACTGCAGCAGGGTACCCAGGGCTTCAGCAGAGAGAGAGGTTTCCCTATACTGCGCCAGTCAGGAGGCAAAAGGAAAGGATAGAGTGTGTCAAGTCCTAGCGTTCGCCCAGCTCAGACTCAAGCTGGGTCATTCTAGTCCCCTGCCAGAAAACATTATCAACCCCTGCAGATTAAGAACTGTCTCACTGACAAATCTGAAAATACAGTTGTAATGGGTAGAGATCTGTCAGGAGAACTGTTGGTAGTTGGGTTCCTCAAGGATCAGTTCCAGGTCCAACATTATTCAGCATTTTCACAAATGATCTAGAAGATATTCTGGAATTTTTAAGATGAGAGTAGTTCTCCTTCTAAAATATAAGATTTAATCCAGTTGCTGGGAGAAATTCTGC